AGCACTGCAACACCTTCAGCCAAAACTGTTCCAGTTGAAACCTCCACTGCAGGAACACAACCTCCAACTTCTGCCACTACTGCTTCCACAACATCCGAAGCAAAAATAGGAAGCACCGCTGGCACCACGGCCATCCCCACTACCACACGCCCAACAAAGGAAGGAACAACAGCAATCGCAACTACCACCAGGACCTCTCCCCCTCAGACTGAAGGCACCACAGTCATCATCACACCCACACCAGCAGTGCCCACACCAGCCACTAGCACTGCCAGCACCTCCAGGACCACAGAGGGAAGCACTGCAACACCTTCAGCCAAAACTGCTCCAGGTGAAACCTCCACTGCAGGAACACAGGCTCCAACTTCGGCCTCTACCATTTCCACAACATCCGAAGCAAAAATAGGAAGCACCGCTGGCACCACGGCTGTCCCCACTACCACACGCCCAACAAAGGAAGGAACAACAGTTGTTGTGACCACCACCAGGACCTCTCCCCCTCAGACTGAAGGCACCACTGTCATCATCACTCCCACACCATCAGTGCCCACACCAGCCACCAGCACTGCCAGCACCCTCAGGACTACAGAAGGAAGCACCACAACACCCTCAGCCAAAACTGTTCCAGGTGAAACCTCCACTGCAGGAACACAACCTCCAACTTCTGCCACTACTGCTTCCACAACTCCTGAAGCAAAAATAGGAAGCACCGCTGGCACCACGGCTGTCCCCACTACCACTGTTCCTCAATCTGGAACCAGAAGCACCATAGGTGTTATTGAAATTGTTTCTTCTACTGCAGAAAGTGTTGCTACCACTGTTTTTCCCACAACTTTTAGTCCCACAGTCAGTCCAGGTATGTCATTTTCTACCTCTTTAAGGTTTATTTTCTGATTTTTCTTTAGAACAGCATTTGTATCAGTTTTTTCTGTGATTTCTGCCCCTAAGTGAATCTGTGACTGCATGATTCTGTGACCATCTCTATTTCCTCAAATGCATAAACCAGTTTTTAATCAATCTGCCTCTCTGCCTCTAGTATCCGTGTTATACAACTCAGTTAGTTTTATAGTACTAACCCTTAATTCAGGGCAGAAAGGGGTGATATTGAAACCTTTGAAAACTTTAGAGCTAAATGCCCTAAGATTTGCCAGATGCCACACAGTATTCAATGTATAACTAAAAAATTTTCACAATCTCCACTTATGAATAGGTCAAATATTTGAATGCAACAAATATTTGATTGATTTGCCTGAACGCTGAAAATACTTCTTGAATTTATTAAAATTATTACATAAAAATCCTGTGCTGCAAATTTAATTATTACTTGTATTTAACAGTTGCTACAACTGGTACATCACGATCAAGTCATATTACAACAAGCACTTCTGCAGTATTCAGTTCTTCCACCAGCATATCTGTGACAACAGAAGCCAGTACCCCCGTTACGTCCAGCAGAGTAACTCCATGCTTTTGTCATGTATTTGATACTTTATTTTCTCCTGGTAAGTGTCTTATTTTTGATTAAAAAAAAAAATTGTAAGCAATATAAACCCTTAAAACACTATTCAGTTAAAGATAACCACTCACAATAATCTGAACATAGAACTTTTTATGGATGAATACACATTATATTTTCACAATATTTTCTTGATTTTTTCCCTAAGTATTTTCATTGGTCTTGCAATTTCTCCTCCAATTTTCATCTACAGGCGAAGTGGTATACAACAGAACAGACAGAGCTGGCTGTAATTTTTATGCACTTTGCAGCAAGGAATGCGAAATTGAGCCATTCCAGGGGCCGTGTCCTTTGACAACTCCTGCCCCTTCAGTCGCTTCAACAACTACAACACAAGGCACCTCATCCACAGGCCACGTATTGTCTTCTGCCTCACCAACCACAGCAACATCCCTCACAACTTCAGCAGAAAGAAACTGTACTGATGTCAATCCTCCACGAAAGGTGGTTCCCCTTCTTACTTTCTAATATACCACTGTTGCAAAACCAGCCCAATTTCTGTCCTCTAATAGCCAATTCAAATCAACCTCTATGTATGTCAATAAGGAAGTTGGTTGTGTTAACTAATGACCTGATAACACACAATTCTTTAACCTGGCATTGCCAGGCTTTTAAGTAATCTAGAGGTGGAAAAACTCACTAAGACCATGGCAGACCATGGTAGACCATTTGTTTTTAATAAAAGACATTTAAATGTCATAGAAATAGGCAGACTATCGATGAAAAGTAAAATATACTTCTTTTTATGCAGAATAAAATCGTTCTCAGCGTTAATAGTATGCTCTTAATAGTATGCTAAGAAAACTCTGATCTGAACTTCCCACCAATTTTGAGAATCTATCTGAAGTTGAAACAAAACAACTAGGGCTAGAAGGAGCATTTAAGAATAAATAATTTACATATTTTCAGCCTGGAGAGAAATGGAGAAGTGAATGCCAGGAGTGTGTCTGTGACTCCCTCACTGCTACTGTGCAGTGCCAGCCGCTCCCATGCCAAACAACTCAGGAAACAACTTGTGACCTAGGATTTGTTTCCATGGCTGTACTACCACAAAAAGACCCATGTTGTCCTGAATTTAAATGCCGTAAGTATTAAAAATACATATGTAAATCCACACTACACACTCCAATGAATCACATTTGCACTTCTAAGGAAGTTCTTCATGTATCACAATAATAGCAAAACCTTAAGTTATTCTGTCTCGGTGAACACACATCAGTTTTTGGCTAAATGTGCATTAGATCTTTATTTAAAAACAAAATGTTATTTTCAGTTAACTCTGATGAAAGAATGGGTGGAATAGCAGGATAACACTTTGAACCTTCATGAGTTCTATATAGCTTAACTATCTCTGCATCTGTAATCATAAATGTTGTCAATGCGTTTTTTAAGATGTTATTAATGTAATGTTGGAGCACATTAACATTAGCCCAGCTGCAGCTAAACTAAGATGCATAAACATAAGACTAGGACAGCAAAAAGCTTAACAATTAACTACAAGAGCAAGTAACAGGAAGCAATTATAAAAAGTGAATTGTTATCAGAATTGCCAATGTATGAAAAAAAATTATACTTATGTCATTGAATGCTCATGAAAATTTTAAAATCCTACGGTTATACAAGTTTATTTGTATATATAAATTTTTATATACATATATGTGTGCAAAAGAATAAAAAGAAAAAACTACCCATAAATTAAACCTGAAACAGGAAAGTCAAAACAAAGGAACAGGCAAGTTTGAAGTAGTTCTGTGAAAGACATGAATGGGTTCTGCCATGTTATCAGATTTATATTACCACAATAGGAATACCTTTTTCGACATAGTCAATATTCCATCCAACCATGTTCTGAGAGGTCATAAACAATCAGTAATTAAAGCATCTTTGAATATTATTGGACTTCTAAGGTTCAAAGAGGAGACAACTAATTTAATTTTAAGTGAACCAGATACTGAAAGGGCAAAAAAGGGATTTCTCATGCATAGCTTGAGTTTGAAGCCATTCCTCATCAACTCTTCTTGCTAATTTCAAGGCTGAAACTTTACTTAAACATCTACTACATAAGAGGTCTAAACATGTAGTGGGGATTGAATTCAAGTTTTCCATACTCTGTGTTACTTACAAAACTTGATAACATTTTGACACCTCAGGAAGTCTCACAATTTGAGTTTACCCTGGAATTAATTTTTTGTTGTTGTTGTTTTTCAGAACCAGTGCCTGATGTCTGTGTGATTAATGGTACATTGTACACGGTGAGAATCTTATGACATTGTGTAGAATATTGCTGGAAGTGAAAAGTACATCCTTTCTACCAAAATAAGTCTTTGAGAAAGTTCTTTTCCCAGTATATGTGTTTTTTTAATCTCTTGCCCTTAACTGGAAGCTAGCATTTTTGCTTTAATTGATACCCTAAACCTTTTTGCTAAAATTGGTACTTAGATCATTAACTCACAATTGAAGCATTAGCACTGGAGCCTTTGTGGATGCATTTCAAAAGACTAAAATCCATGTGTAAAGTTACATCTCTGCTTATGCATACGCTTATTTTAATCTCCATTTTCAAATTACAACTGTTTTACAACCACTGAACATGACTTAGAAAAAATATTCTTAAATGGAGCATTGAAAAGCTGGTAAAACAATAAGACAGTATAAACCAGTCTTCATTTTATTAATTTACTCTTCTTTTTCACATTGCTTCATATAGTTTCCTCTTAGTGTATGCTTTCCTGCACGGCTTGAAGCCAAACAACTCTGTATTCAAAGAGAGCTGAAGAACTCGGGAGCACTTGGATTTCAGCAACCTTAATGATTCTCAGCAATGCATTCAACTCTGCCTATACATTATATGGAAACTGCTGCCATTTGAATGTTGTGGGGTTTTTTTTTTTCCTGTCTTCCAGGTTGGAAAGTCAGTAGTAGTCAATTCATGTCAGAAATGTACCTGCAGTTCTGAGAAAGATCCAGTGACTAATGCTAACATTGTGCATTGTGAAACACTTCAGTGTGAAACATCTTGCCCACTGGTGAGTTCAGATTCTCTAGGCTGCCCAGTCAGCCCTCAGTTACAGCAAGACCAGAATTCTCCATCACCAATTCAACATGCTTTCTTTTTCATCTCCTTATGAGTAGGGTTATCAATATATGACTGAGGAAGGAGAATGCTGTGGGAAGTGCATCGAAGTGGCTTGCAAAGTCAAACTAAGTAACAACACTGTTCACGTGCTCAATGTAAGTATTCCTTTCAATTTCAGATCTCTCTGTTAGCTGATATAACAGCCAAGTCTCAATTCATGTCCCTTACTAATAAGAATGTAATACTGAAATTACTCTGAAAACAACACACCAGCTTTCTGAATTGTAAACTTCCTTGGAATGACAAATTCTTGCTATGTGTGGTTAATGGGGCAATGATTTCTAATTTGGGGTCTGAGTGTTCAGAACCAGGATTTAAACTTCCAAGTTTGCTGCAGTTTGCAGAATTTCATTTCTGCCACTTAAAAGAACTTCAGAAGCATCTAAGAACCTCTGAGGTATGAGAACTTAATTAGCTCTGACATACTTAATGACAATGAAAAAATACTTTTGCTTTTCTTATAAAATCTTAGGTTAATGAGATCCTGCCACTCGACCAATGCAGCCATTACAAATGTGAAAAAACTGAAGATCAGTTTGTTGCAGTCCAAAGTAAGAGAGTATGCCCTCAGTACGAGCCTGGAGAGTGCGATCCTGTAAGTTTTAATCAATTCTTCACTGACTGAAGGCAGTTCAAAAGAGCAAGGAGGGACAAGGAAGAATACAACAAATCAGTTTCACTGAAGTTGCACGAATGTCTTAAGAATGAAATTAGTTTTGTTGTAACATTAGTAATAAGAAAGGCTTGGTATTTTTTATGAGGCTTATTCAAGACTTCTGTGATGAAGACAGCAAGTCATTGTTCATTTAGGGTTCATCAGAGAGGAGCTCTCTGCCCAGTATCAATACTGTTAACTCATATTCTTACTCATGATTGTCATCCATGCACTAACACAAATCCTCCTTTACTTTTACAAAGGATGAAACAGAGACTACGCCCGATGGCTGCTGCAAAATATGTAAACGTAAGTAATGCTGTGTTCATGTGTTCTACTTGAAGAGGATTGTGTTCAATTTTTAACTACCTTTTAGTGAATGGAAGGATTCTTCACTCCCCCTGTTTTCACGTATTCTATATATGAAGACCCTGTGTTTCACTATTTATTGAAAAGAAAAATGCAGATTTGTTTTCCTGATACTTAATATCACAAATCAAACCAACAATGCTCAGGCCTCTGCATTATTTTGCAAAGACCTTTTAGAGATTAAATCAAAGAATAACCTGAAAATTCCAGATACCTTACACAGTACCCACTCCCCACCCCACCACATACTGCAGATTCTCAGTAATCAAACATCATGCACTTTGAAACTGTTTTAGCATTCCTTTAGTTCTGAACTAGAGATTTGAAATATACTTTCCCCTCTTCCTTTTTGTAAAGCTCCAAAATGCAAGCCTTACAGCAAGAAAACTGTGATCCGCCATGCTGGCTGTGAGTCTTCTGAACCTGTTGAGCTGTCGTATTGTGAAGGAACTTGTCCTGGCTCCTCAATGTAAGTTTTAAAAATTAATTTAACATTTCTATGGCTTCATTTATACTTCATTTTTACTGGTCTCTCCCAAGAAGGCTCATGGGAGACCTCATCACTCTTCACAACTACCTGAGAGGAGGTTGTAGTGAGGTGAGGATTGATCTGTTCTCCCAGGTAGCAAGCGAAAGGATGAGAGAAAATGACTTCAAGTTGCACCAGGGGAGCTTTAGATTGGATGTTAAGAAAAATTTCTGCACTGAAAGGGTTGTCAAGCATCAGAACAGGCTGCCCAGGGAAGTGATATTTAAAAGACATGCAGATGTGGCACTTAGGGACATGGTTTAGTGGTGGACTTGGCAACACTGGGTTAATGGTTGGACTCGATCTGAAAGGTCTGTTCCAACATACGTGATTCTATGATGACAGAATAGCAACAAAACTAATGTGTTTATATGATTCCATTAAATTGAATCAGATTCAATGGGAGCAAGAACAGTTTTCCTATTGAAGAGACAAGTAATTAAAATCACATTCATAAGTGTGTCTGAGAGGGAGGAAAAGAGGATGTATAAAAAAACCAAAACCCAAACCAAATACCCCCAAAAGAAAAGTCTCTGAGAGGGCTCTATGCGTCAGTTTTTACTGAGATGTTTTTTTCCTGATGAAACACAGGTATTCTCTTGAAGCAAACCAGATGCAACACGACTGTAGCTGTTGCCAAGAGTCCAGCACCCAAACAAGAGAGGTGACCCTGACTTGCCAAAATGGAACAAGCATAAATTATAACTATGTATACGTGGAAAAATGCCAGTGTACAAAGGGCTGCTCTTCACAAACCTCTGCATCACAAGGCTCCCAAATACAACAATCTGGAGATTACGGCTCCCAGTTGCAACAGGCTGCAGCGTTTGGTTCCCA